TTTTTTTTTTTTGTGAGGAAGATCAGCCCTGAGCTTACATCTGATGCCAATCCTCCTCTTTTTTTTTGTTTTTTTGTTTTTTCCTGAGGAAGATTGGCCCTGGGCTAACATCCGTGCCCATCTTCCTCTACTGTGTATGGGATGCCACCACAGCATGGCTTGACAAGTGGTTTGTGCGTGCCCGGGATCCGAACCTGCGAACCCCGAGCTGCCACAGCGGAGCATGCGTACTTAACCGCTGTGCCACCGGGCCGGCCTGAGGTCTACCTTCTTTGACCCTCTCTCTTTAGGATTCTGCCCATGAGAAGTGTGGCTGCCCTGCAGTCTGAGGTTCCTGAGGGCATTTCCCCTACCCCCTTCTCCACCCACCACTTGCTAGCTGGGACTTGAAATGAAGTTGGAATGGAGGAGCATGGCCAAACCTTTTCTGCTCCCTTCACTAATGAAGTCCTCCTCCCATGAACACTAGCTGCACTATTGATTGCTCTTTGACTCCTTAACAATAGAAACTTCTCTTAATGGGAGGAGGGGGCTTTATGAATTTATGTGGTACTTGCTCCCAAACACTAGACACTGCATCTCCCAGTACTTGGCCTGCTGAGACAGCACTATGGTTACAGGTGAGGTTATACATGACCCAGAGGTGCTATGACATGGTATTTTTTTGTGTGTGTGTGAGGAAGATTAGCCCCGAGTAACATCTGATGCCAATCCTTCTCTTTTTGGTGAGGAAGATAGGCCCTGAGCTAACATTCGTGCCCATCTTCCTCTACTTTATGTGGGACACCGCCACAGCATGGCCTGACAAGCGGTGTGTTGGTGTATGCCCGGGATCCGAACCTGCGAACCCTGGGCTGCCACAGCAGAGTGCACGCACCTAACCGCTATACCACCGGGCTGGCCCCTCTGACATGGTATTAAGCCAAGGAACCTAAGAATTCTAGAAATCCCTTACAAACGCTTCTGGCGAAGTCTGCAGGGGAGACACCTCAGAAACAATTGCAAAGGAAAGAGATATCCCATTTTGTGGGCAGCTGGACTTGTGTCTGAAACCCCCATGCCGTGCTCAATTAGCTGGACTGGACACTTGGCCTGGCTATGGCTTAAGGGCCTGTTCTGTCTCTAAGCTCTCATGCGGATCTTACCACAGACCGTTTTAACGATGAATCATGTTCTAGGTTCAATTAAATTTTAAAAAGATAATACAAGACAAAAACACCAGTTTTTTGGGGGTCCTTTTGAGTTAGCAGGAATCGAGTACAGTTGTGAGAAGCAGTTGAACTGCTTTGAGAGGACCAATGGTGCAATAAAACACTAAATAACAAATGAACAGAAAAACTCCAGTTCGTAAGTTGATGATCTGCTCCCGCTCCCCACCCCCGCCAAATCACTAGCTGATCTATTCAGCTCTAAAAGGATACATAAGAAACTGGCCACAGGAGTTTGCTCTGATGGTAGAGGCGAGAGGCGAGGGCACAGTCAGCAAACTCTGGCATGCAGGCCAAATTTAGCCTCTGCCTGTTTTTGTAAGGAGAGTTTTATTAGAACACAGCATTGTTCATTTGTTTACGTATCCTCTGTGGCTGCTTTCGGGCTCCAAGAGCACGAGTGAGCAGTTGCAACCAGAGACCTATGACTGGCCCTTTACAGAAAAAGTTTGCTGACCCCTGGGTAGAGGAAGAGACAGGAGGGAGATTGACTTTCATTTTACATCTACGTTGAGTTATTGAATTAAGAATATTCAGGGCAGGCTTCTGTGGACTCATCAAGCATCCCTCATTCCAGCTCCTCCTGCTGGGTGACTAACATTATTTACAAGGGTCACTGATGATTATTAGCAGGAGCTGTTCCTGCCACAATATTAGCCCTGTGCCCGGATGAGGCTGGAGCACTTAATTCCATTATGTTTCCTGGTAACTCAGAAGTAACAAATTTTCCAGTTAATCACTGGATGTAAAATCATCCTACTCTGGCTTTCATGAAAAAGCAAGAGGAAGCTGAGCTGGAGAAGTGGGATTCTGCTGGATTTCTTTCCTCAGGCCTCTGATAATATCTTTTTAAGTGTGGAAAAGTTCGACAAGAATCCCCTTCTCCCAATCTTCAAATAAGATGGATTGCCAGACTGAGATGTTGGGTTTCTCTTGTGGATTTGTATCTACCTGGGACATGACGAAGGGCCCATGTCCTATAGTCTGAGAAGCATAGGGAAAGGAAAAGAGGCTGGGAAAGTAGATTCTTAAGCTGTTGTCACAGAATATCGATTCCCGAGTCCATAGCACAGGAGGACAGTCTGGGTTGTTGAATGTGGTGTGGATTGATAGCCCTTCCTGAGCGTGTCTCAATGTATCAACAGATAAAAATGAGTGCCAGTTTGGAGCCACCGTGGTCTGTGGGAACCACACATCTTGTCACAACACGCTCGGAGGCTTTTATTGCATCTGCCTAGAAGGATACCGAGCCACAAACAACAACAAGACGTTCATTCCCAATGACGGCACGTTTTGCACAGGTACGCAAGGAGAGGGCTGCAGGGGTGGCAACTCCGTGATGGCAGGACAGTGTCTGGGTGTGGAGGAGGGAGAGGGCAGGGCCAGGACAGGGTGTGATTTAAGGGAGGGACTCTCCTTTAAGAATATCTTAAATGAGGGAAATTTGGCCATGGACTGAGTATTAGTTAATATTAGGGAATTACTACTAATTTTGTTAGACAGGATAATGGTATTGTGGTATTGAGGATAATATTCTTATTTTGGGAGATGCATGCTGAAGCATCTAGGGGTGTTATTATGAAGTATCTAGTGTTATAGCTGAAGGTATTTTCAATGGCAAAATGTGAACAATTGTTGAATCTCAGGGAGTGAGTCTATGGGAGTTCATTGTAATAAATTCTTCTTCTTGCTCTGTGTGTTTGATCATTTTTATAACAAACAACAAGGAGGGACTCACAGAGATGGTGTGCCATCTGCAGATTCCTATAACCCCAGGTGGGGTGTTCTTGGGGTGACTCTGGCACTCGCCAGCTGTGTGCACACTGCCCACTAAGGGCCCAGGGGGTGGGCACTGTGATGTTGGCTCCTGGGAGGTCAGAGTGCTGCTCCTGTTAGAGAGGTGGGCTTGCCTCCCAGAGGAATAAGGTAAGGAGTGCAACTTTTAGGACATCAGTAGCTTCGAAGGTCAGATTTCTGGGCATATGTTGGTATTTTAATACTAGGGCTAGGCAAAACCCTCCGAATTTTCAGTGGCCCCTGTACTATCTGAACTCTATTTACAGCACGTCGTGATAATATAGCTCTTGAGTTTTCTTAGACAATGTTTGAGCAATAATGAAGAGGCAAGGCAGGAAAAGACTCCTGGTTCTGAGATGGTTTTGCATAGACCTCATGACTGCTTAAAGGCTTTGTGATATTTAAAGGTTTTCAGGGAAAAGAAAGAGAGAGAGGAGAACACGTTTCGTCTTCTTATTCCCCAGGAACCACAGGTTCTGATGCTCTGATTCATTCTCCCTCTTGACTTGTACAAGGTAAAAATCCCTCAAAGGATACATTTGATTTATTCTTGGCATGAATGAACACATTCCCTCAGAAAAAGCATTTTATAATATCCTCTTGTTTTAGGTAACAAATTACTTGCTACATGATTGCGGGAGCGTAATGTTGCAGAATTAAAAAAAAAAGATAACAATTATAAAAAAAAAAACGTACAAGATGATGATCTGGTGTTCAGTTCATTCAATACACATTTCTCATGCAGTTCCTACGTGCCAAGGCTGTGCTAGTGCAAGATGATGGCAGACAGCTAATTTCAGTATAAAGTGTTAGTGATTGGGAAGCAAAGGGTGCTTACTGGAATCCAGGATCCATGGGGGCACTTACCTTGGAAGTGGGGAAGGGATTGGGGGAACTTTCTGGAGGACAGGACACCTGAAATTGTATTTTCAAGGCTGTGGGAGTTTGCCAGGAAAAACTTTTATTTATTTATTTATTTGTGAGGAAGATCAGCCCTGAGCTAACATCCATGCTAATCCTCCTCTTTTTGCTGAGGAAGACTGGCCTTGGGCTAACATCCGTGCCCCTCTTCCTCCACTTTATATGCCACAGCATGGCCTGACAAGCGGTGCGTCTTGAGGGATCCAAACCCTGGGATCTGAACCCCGGGCAGCCAGCAGTGGAGTGCACGCACTTAACCACTGCGCCACGGGGCCGGCCCCAGGAAAAACTTTTATAACTGTATATATCAGTATGGTTCCCAAGGATGCATTCTACTTTTAAAAAGATATGAAGAAGGAGGATAAGAAGAAAGAAGTATTTTATGAAAACGCCAAATAGATGTCAGCCTGATAAGAACCAATCTTCCTGGAACAAAATCCTGATGTAGGCTCTGCTTCTATCTATTCTACTTCTTGTAATTATTTAGTGACCTTTCCTTTTTTTTAAAAAAATTGAGGTATAATTCACATGCCGTAAAATTTACCTTTTGGAAGTGCATACTTCAATGGTTTTTAGTATATTCACAAAGTTATGCAACAATCTCCTCCATCTAATTTTAGAACATCTCCATCACCCCCAAAGGAAGCCCTATATCCATTGGCAGTCATTCTCATGATCTTTCCTTTTGAGGTCTCCAGTTATCACTTTGTAAAAGCTGACTGATGACTTTTCTTTTTTTTTCTTTCTTTTTATTGAGGTCACATTGGTTTATAACATTATATAAATTACAGGTGTGTATCATTATATTTCGAGTTCTACATAGCCTGCGTGTTCACCACCAAAAGTCTAGTTGCCATCTGTCGCCATACACATGTCCCCTTTTACCCCTTTCGCCCTCCCCCCACCTCTCCTTCCCCCCTGGTAACCACCAATCTGTTCTCTGTATCTATGTGTTTTTTTATCTTCCACATATGAGTGGAGTCATATGGTATTTGTCTTTCTCTGTCTGACTCTTTTCACTTAGCATAATACCCTCATGGTCCATCCATGTTGTTGCAAATGGCACGATTTTGTCTTTTTTTAAGGCTGAGTAGTATTCCATTGTACATATATACCACATCTTCTTTATCTATTCAGATAGATGACTTTTCTTGATGGTATTGAGTTTTTTTCAGAATCACGGTTGCCACAGAAACATCAGTGGACTTTAGCTGGGGCAGAGGCTCAGTAAGTTTTAGGGTATCAGCAGGTATCCAGTATTTGCCTGGAACCACATGATGTGAATCCTAGTTCTTAAATTCCAAGAAATCCTGTGACCAGGTGTTTATTGTACTTTGCAGAGTTCAAATCAAATTCAGGAGCTTGTTGCAAGTAGGCCTCTTTGGATGCCACCAAGGATAGATGAGGACTGAGTTGTAGGGGTTCTAGTTCTGGAGAACCTGCAGATGTTCTGACCCCCAGGGCTGCCCTCTGAATGACTCCTGGGCATCATGGAAACTGCCATGAGCCACAACCCGAGGGAAGAAGCTCTGTGGCACTTCCAGTGTGAGGGTGGTTTGACTTGCGTGGGCTGAGAGTAAGTGGAGAGAAATGAGACTGATGTGGGAATAAGGCCTGGGGCTGTCATCCCCCCACCATCATGACTCCAAGTAAGCATGGCCTTGGGAGGGTCTGCTGAAAACTACAAAATACTTTTCTGTGCCTCTGAACTCCCCAACTCTTGGGAATCCATCTCGACTCTGAGGGCAGCAGCAACTTTCTTTTTCATAAGTTCATTTCCTGCGATATCAGAGCCTGATGCCATTTCTTCTGGAGAAATGTAACAGCGCTTCACCCTTGGCTGAGAAATGGGGAAAAGGGGAGGAAAAAAAAGAACCTAGAGGGAGTGAATGATTTGTCATTCATCAATTCCTGGAACCTCCTGCCCAAAGCCGGTATCCCATAGGCCTGCCTATTGTGAAGTAAACACCTTCATTCCTAGATGTAAATCCCTACTGCTACCAAGACCAGTGTAGTCGGTTGGTTTCTCTCCCAGGTCAGGAGCTGCCTTCTCCATGTGAGCCATTGTCTACAAGCTTCTCAGCTGCCCCTCTCTTTCAGGTCCTGGAGCAGCCTGCTGTGGCCTCAGACACAAATGCATAGCCCCACCGAGATTCTGCTTGTCTGCGTGGGCTGTTGCTCAATAGGCTTGCAGCTGTCCTGGGGTTTTTCCCAGTGCTCTCTCCAAACAGAACTTTGCTCCCCAAATCCCAGTCCTTTGTTTTAGCTGGATTTGTTTCCAAAGAGTCATGTTTTACCAGTCTGAAAGAAGGAAGAAGCAAGGAAAGATAAACCCAAGGAAAAGCACAGAGAGGGCATTGCTCCCTACTTCCCAGAGCGGTGCTCACAAGCATTGGCTCCTTGCCTGCCTTCCCTGTGGAATCCCTCTGATTCCTGTTTATGTCTCCCACTGTGGTGGGTGATGGCTTCAGGCTCCTGCTCTGCCCCAGCTCCTAGGAAGGAGAAAGAGGCCGCAGATTCTGAATCAAAAGATGGTTAAACCAAAGCTCCATCCCCACAAATGCCAGAGGCCTTGACTAAGGCACCGTTGTCCCTCTTTGGGAGTGAGGGGGGCATGCCTGAGTTCCCCCTGCAGGTTGACGTCTCCCACCCTTTACTCTTGCTTCTTACTTGCTCAAGCCCCAGGATATGGATGTCCCAGGTTCTGTCCCAAGGCCCTGTTGAGTATAGCAAAATACATATATATGGTTCTTTTTTACTCCACTAATTTAAAGTTTTGGGAGGAGTAGTAGGCACAGGAGCTGGGCTTAAGTTTATCTTTGAACTATCTATAAAGTAGGCTTTCCTAAGCAAGCTATCAATATTGGCAAGATTGTGAAGGAAATGTTTAGCCCTTTGAGTTCAGACTCTTTGCTCATGGCGAACACATCTCTGAGCATGACCTCAAAAATGGTTCTTCATTTATTCAGAGACTGCTTTAGCAAAAGTTATGTGTCAAAAAAGATGGAGGTGTTACCCTAGGATGGAGCTCTGGAATAGATTAGGGGTGAATGGGTCATTTAGTTCTGATTGTGATGATCCATGATTGTACTTCCCAAAAGGAGACAGAAGAATAAGGCAATATGTTTTTCCTCATAAGAAGGAATATAGCTTTGTTTTTTCCGCTTATTAAAAAAAAACACATACTAGGGGCCGGCCCTGTGGTGTAGTGGTTAAGTGTGCGCGCTCCGCTACTGGCGGCCCAGGTTCGGATCCTGGGCGCACACCGATCCACCGCTTGTCCGGCCATGCTGAGGCTGCGTCCCACATACAGCAACTAGAAGGATGTGCAACTATGACATACAACTATCTACTGGGGCTTTGGGGGAAAAAAAAGGAGGAGGATTGGCAATAGATGTTAGCTCAGAGCTGGTCTTCCTCAGCAAAAAGAGGAGGATTAGCATGGATGTTAGCTCGGGGCTGATCTTCCTCACACACACAAAAATAAATAAAAATAGAAAAACATAAAAAAAATAAAGAAACGTGAGGGCACTTCCTAGTGTGATGGAAATGCTCTATATCTTATTTTGGATGTTGGCTACAT